GCAAGAGATAGGAAGAGGTAGATGTGCCAACAGCTGTTCGGGAGAGAGGAATCAATCTTTTTGGATTGTAACACGTCTAAGAGGCATTGTTTGCCTGGCACCTACAGCTCTTATGTAATTATATTAACTATGTTTCTTATGATAGCTTAATTACCTGCAGTACTGTGGACAAAAGTTGGTTGGTACTGAAATGGTTGTCATGAAATTCCTAATAACTGTTTATGTCGTTTTTTCGTTCTTGTTCCTCTCTTTATATCTAATCAGTGATACTTGACATTCTTTTGAAAATCATCATTTGTTGCATGAGACTGATTCATGTACTGTAGATTCAGCTGTTTAGTTTTTGCAAACGCACAAGATGAATCACTTTTTAGGTACTTTCTGGCCCTCAGCCAAGCCAAACTGGCAGCAGGACACAGCTCTCTGCACTTTGTCAATTAGCATTTCCTACGTTCTTAATGATATCCAAATTACTTTCTATTCATGGTAATTTTATTCCTGCCAAGAGTCAGTATGGCATGTGAGCTGGCTGTCCCCGTTTGAACCTGGCCAGGTGCCAGTCCTGGCTCCAGGTGTCTTTCGTGCTATGCTAATGCAATCGCCATGGCGATCAAGAGATCCATAGCCCACCTAGTTGAGATAAAGTCAGTGAAATGTGTCTTTAAAGCCGAACAGATAGGAGTACAATTATTATAAACGTGAGTTCATCTTTTAAGCTTGACTACAGTGCGTTGTCTTACAATGGTCTGTATAGTTTTCATATTTACTATTCCAGACAGCTGAGGTCAGATCATTTCTGCTGCTAAATATCTTGTCGCACACAGGATTTGGCGGATTGTATGTTTTAACAAGCACAGAATTGCCTTATTGGTAACACTTTAGTCATACAGTAAGTATACACTGCAGTACTGGTCACACAGATACATCTGCAGTTCTCTAACTTCCTAAATGTAATCTGTGCAGTGTTTGTACGTGTAGAGCCTCCAGACTTTTATCTTGTTTATTTATTACTTCACTTCTTCTTGGTGGGTGAGTCTTGGAACAACCCTTCATTCCAAGGGAAACATGGTGCCTCGCTGACTGAACAATTTCAAACTTTCTTCCCTTATCCGACGGGAAACTTTGTTGTTATGCGGTTTTGTATTTTCATATCTCCCCTCGGCTGGCTTAAAATGCCAACGTTGATCATATTTCTGGCTTGTGGATTGAGATGTTTGATAAGCATCACTGTTGACACAAGGATGAAGTTGTATTATATCAGGGAAAGGAAGTAATTAATGTTATGCCAATGTGGGTGGTCCTTCTCAATACTCTGTTAGCTCTCATGTTTACATTGGCAAACTCAAATGTTGCTGCATTAATCCCATAGTTGTTCCATACCTACTATTGCATTCATTGTTGTTCTGGATTAATGTGTTTCCATAGTGCTGTATTTCCTCTTGGCTTGTAAGCATTCATAATCGACAACCTGCACACTTCTCACATAATTTATGTCATTACTGCTTTTGAGAGAACTCCTCCTAGTGCTCACATTTCACAACCACAACTATGATAATATTTCCTTTAGAGAAAGCTGATCCTGAGAAGGTTTCCTCTGTGATGTCAGCAGCCTGTGACTAGTACAGTACCAGTTTTCTTTCAGGCAGCATTGCCAAGCACAACAAGGGACTGATCCCCTGGAGGAAGTGAGAGCATGTCACCATCAGAGCATGAGAAAGAAGAAGGACAGGAAGCTTTTCCATGGCCTTCCTCTGACAGCCCACATGGAAACAATGGCTCTGGCAGCCCCTCAGTGGTTGTACAGTGTTTGCTCATTCACTTCAGTTTATTATGCTTTTACATTGTGTTTAGGGTGTGATTGGGATTGTTATGTTTGCTTTCTAAAAGTGAAACAAGTCATGAGAGCTGGTCAAATCCACTTTCACATTTGACTTCAGTTCATGTACAGGGAGGGATCTTTTTATCTTTATCTATTTAGTCTGTACAAGAGGTCAAGCCCAGTGAACTTTGAGTCTTAATCTCAACACACCAATTAAAGAGCTTCTCAGCATTATGACCACTTGTATTATACCGTAAGTATACATGTTGAAGTGAGTGTCTTTGATAATAGTCCAAAGATAGTTCCCTTCTTCTTTTACTCACCCATCTCTTAAGCGTTTGTAACCAGTCTTCTCCGCACATCTGATAGTATGTGGTTTGTTTATCTGGCGATACAAAAGTGCACATTTGATGCTCGCGTCACAGAGTGACACTCAAGTCATCTTACATCACTGTTGATAAGGAATAACTCCTATACTTCAACTTGACCTTTCAATTAAACTGAATTATCAATTAATGTCAGACAATTAGTGTGACTACCATAAGGCAACAGGATAATACCCATTTTTATAATCAATTGTGTTTTTTTCTTCACAAAGAAGAACATTTACATCAGACCTATTGCATATCAAGTATTGATAACACGAGTAATGATAATCGGTTAAAAACACTTTTTGTCATCAGTAGTTGTGTCCTGCTTATTGACATTGTGTTGCCCTTAAAGTATTTATCTTTATACATGTTTTCTCCAAACTCACAGTGTCACTCATTGGTTGAAATATCATGAGAGAAGTTTTCTCCTGACTTGCTCTTTCAATAAAGCCAACCCCTCTAACTTTCTGTAATTGTTTAATATGCAGGGGAGAAACTCAGACAAGGTGGGACTCCCCAGCTGAATGTGAAATTGATTTTAGAGACTCAAAAGTGTCTGGCAGTTTAATTAAGTCCTCTGTGTTGTCGATTCAGCCCCAGGGCTTTGAGACGCCAGTTTTCTTTTATTCGTTCACTGACACATCTTAGCATTCAGGTGTCAGTGTAATAACATTGAGAAATAGCCAAACAGCGTAACCAGTTTAATACTGAATATTCTTTAAATTGTTCTTAATATGGGCAACACTTCATGTAGTTTGTGATTCACATGTTTTATGCGATTTCTCAATGTTATCTCTCAATATAATCCTGCAGTTAGGCTCACAGACCAGTTTAATTCACACACGTATTCATAGTCATCATTTTCTTTCAAATTTGTTATTGCTATTTTATGATATTTTTTGAGAAATCAAATGACGTCAGGCATTGCTAATGAAGAAAAAGAGTTCCAACCCAATTGTACATTTCTGGTAGGATATGATGAAGGCGCGAGAAGAGAAATGGTTTCCAGTTGAAATCAAACTGTACTCAGCTACCATTCCTCCACTTATCAAATGAAAGCAATAAGGCCTTATTTTTACTTCATCAGTTTTGGGAAAGTAGTGGTTCTGTGCTGTAGTATATCATTTGTCATTATTGTAGCTCAGAAAAAGTATTCTTGCTCGCTGCAAATTTGAGGACCGTCGCTTCGAGACTCATTCCCTTCAACTCACCGGTTCATTACATCCAGCTGTCGTCCTTCTTTTGAAAATGGTATCTAGAGTTTCTATCAGGTCTGTGTGTGACCCCAGACAGATCTGATCATTCACTTACTCCTGTCAGGATTGTGACGGTGTGATTGAGTAAAAATAAAGGAAAAGATTAGAAAGAGATGACCGGCTGCCTGTATTCTATCTGTTCCACCCAGCAACCTTAGGTCGGCACCTTAAGTATTAACAGCAGCTGTATAAATGGATACACAAACATATCCAAACATCCCTCATCTCAGGGGAATGTGCTTACTGAATGTATCACCTAGGGTAACATCCAGCCCTACCTTTATTTTTTAAATCAAATAAGGAGTGGTAGATTATTTTTTAGAAAAGAAACCTGAACAGAATGTAAGATGGAAACAGCCGCAAGGAGTTGTTTTGAGATGAGAAGCAGAGTGAAGAGCACCAGCAGTGAAAGTGACCCCAACATTTCCATCTATCTGAGATGACACAATGGCAAATGTGGGAAAGCGGAAGCAAAGGTTCCCTAGTGGGGTTAAAAAAGCAACAAAGGAGCATGTTACCCCTGAGAAGTACAAAGAGTTTCCGTATCCAGCCACACACACACATCACGTGGTCCAGAGACAAGAACCATGATATCAAGGGAAAGGGAAGTGAAGGTTTTTTAATGCTTAGGCGAGTGAGGCCAAGCTAAGGACAATGATGATGTCATCGGACAGGAGGTGAAAAAGTCATTTTTGCTTTTTGGTTTAATTTCCTTTAGCATTTTCATTGTTATCATTATTATAGTCAACTGTGGACAGTTGTTTCTTGCTGGTATGTGAATTCAATTGTTTCAGTTTTTATATTCTATTTAGGCAACATCCAGTGTATTTTTTTTCTAAAAAACATTATGTTCCCTTGTTGTTGTACTACTAAGCATAATTGAAACCACACCAACTGCTAAAACTCCAAAATACCTAATCATAGCTGTGATGGAAGTGCATTGTAATGCCATTGTGAGGATATGTCATCATTATGTTCTTAGTCTCTTGTGACTTGATTGAAATGTAATACCTCTCTGCTTGAACGCAATGCAATGTGTTACCTGTTTGTATTTAGTCAGCAGAGCACTAGAAGAAATATATCACTTCTTTTAATATAAATGTGTTGTGTCCAGCACAATTTCTGCTTTGACAGGAACACTATATCCAACTGTTATACTCTTAAAACCAGTAGCATGGAACACTGTTCTCTATGTATGTGTATTACTTTGCAGGATAGATATCAAGTCTAGTGCTTGTTAATAGGGTTTGTCTGTTCATAGTTATGCTGTGTTTCCTGCACAGGGAATGTTATCATTGTCTTTTTTTGCTGTTGGCTCCAAAAGTGAAATGTCCAGGGTTTTACTCAAGCCTTTGTTTCTTCCACCAACAGAAGCAAGCTTACACTTATTTAACTCTTTAATATTCCTTATCTTCCGACCTGAACTGGACTGTTTTATCCTTATCCAAAGCTTCTCTAACTATATCATCTACATCAGGGCCACAAGTTAAACTGTAACCTTATATTCAGGAATTGAATACTTATCTGTTGCGTTTTCTTGTTTTGTTTCCACAGTGACTAATAAGAAACCCTCCTGCGTGTCCATCACTAAGGTGAAGCAGTTCCAAGGATCTTCTGCTTTCGTAAAAAGGTCACAGTGGACCATTGACCAGCTACGGCAGGTCAACGGCATCGACTCCAATAAAGTATGTCATTTATAGTGCCTTTCAACCGCTATTAATGTAGTTACTATCGCTAGGAATTGCTACTTATTGCTGTTACAACATACTTCTTGTGTCCAGCTTTCAACGTTTCTTTTCAATTACTTCCCCCACTCATCTGTCACCCATGTCTCCTTCTTTCTTTCTAAGGACTGTCCAGAGTTTGACCTGATGTTCGAGAATGCTTTTGACCAGTGGGTTGCTTGCTCAGCAGGAGAGAAGTGCACCTTCATCCAAATCCTTCACCACACCTGCCAGCGCTACAGCTCCGCACAGAAACCAGATTTCGTCAACTGTCAGTCCAAACTGTTGGGGGGTAAGACAGTTAAAATAACAACAACTGCTAACTGTCCTCTGGTAATATTCCTGCTCAGAACACAGTGGCTCTGCTTTGCCAGACTCACTGTCATACTGTGCTGTAAGCCAGTTTGAATCTGATTATGTATGATGACAACCAGCACCTGGTGTGCATGAAAATGCATGCTTATTCCTCGTACACAGCATCTGTTGAGCACTCTGCTGAAGTGAGGTCAACGAGGATGTCCAACAACATTCATCAGCTGTGACTCAAAGCATCAGACACAGATCAACTGGTTTCCAGCACATTGAAATACTCAATACAGCACTAAATAATAACTTCCCCTAATTGATGTGATGTTGACACGTTACATTGTGTGCTTGACGTGTGCAGTTTATTATTATTATGATTGGTTTCCACCCTTCAAACTAATCACAGTAAAAGCTCTAACAGACAAGTGAAAACTAACCTCTCACTTAAAAATCATTCATCAATTAATAGATGAAGACAGGCTGATCAAACAAGTCAGAGCACAATTCCCAAATGTTACAAATTGTACATCCAAAACTGTGTAATTGGTTATTTCCTATCTGCAATTTGTGTGTTTGTTGCACAGGAGGTTGAGGGTGGGGGTGCTGGTTTATGGTTTCCTCTTCAGCGAATCGCAGTAGGGAACGCAGCATCCTGAGCGGTTTAATCAGATATTGATCTGTTTACCCCCAAACCCTCATCTTTAAACAACGTTCAACCTGCATGAGGAATTATTTATGGACCACATTGCCAACCCGCCTCCTGCTGCATGCTCATCTGCCCCACATATACAAGAGGCAATTACCAGATAGATATTTAAAATAAAAAGTTCATTCATGTTTCAAATAGAGTTCTGTAAAAACTAATATATAAAATCACTGACAAGTAGGATGCTCCAATCGCCAATTTTGGGGCCGATATCCGATCGAGTGGGTGGGGGGGCTATGGGGATCTTCCATTTAAAGTGATGTTTAAAACTCAGTTAATGGGGCTCATTCGCTGGCTCATTCACTGGCGCTTCCACAAACGACAACCAACATAATTATTACATTCAGATGAAGTAAATTATTCAAGTTTACATTAACTTTGGATAATAACACGGGAGAAATGAGCGGAAGCGCTCTCTTTTCCTCTCTCCCTCTCTCTCTCCTGACAGCCCGTCAGTATCTCATGCAGCTCACTGATCCAGTAATGAGTGACCCGACAGTGAAGAATAAACATATTTATAACTAGTTTAGCTAGTTCCAGAGGTAGATAAAATAGCTAAGTGTGTTAGGTCTAACTCTTAGTGTGTGTTTTGCTCCGCTTACCGGTCCGTCACAGCGGGTGGAGCTGCAGGATTTCTGCTTCACACACGTTGCATACTGATATTTTACTGTCTTTTTCGGACACCTTAAAATACTGCCAGACTGGTGAAGCCATTTTGGCGAGCTTGTTTTGCCGCGCACAGAGAAAAGTGTCATGTATTTTACGTCATGGGATCGGCTCTCCCGATCGGAATTTATAGAGAGCACCGATCTGTTCACCGCAGAGAGTGAATATCAGCCGATGTCGATCGGCGGCCGATCGATCGGAGCATCCCTACTCATACACTGAACAAAAATATAAACGCAACACTTTTGTTTTTGCTCCCATTTTTCATGAGATGAACTCAAAGATCTAAAACATTTTCTATATACACAAAATAACCATTTATCTCAAATATTGTTCACAAATCTGAAAAAATCTGTGATAGTGAGCACTTCTCCTTTGCCGAGATAATCCATCCCACCTCACAGGTGTGGCATATCAAGATGCTGATTAGACAGCATGATTATTGCACAGGTGTGTCTTAGGCTGGCCACAATAAAAGGCCACTCTGAAACGTGCAGTTTTGCTTTATTGGGGGGTCTGGGGGGTGTCCGAAAACCAGTCAGTATCTGGTGTGACCACCATTTGCCTCATGCAGTGCAACACATCTCCTTCGCATAGAGTTGATCAGGTTGTTGATTGTGGCCTGAATGTTGGTCCACTCTTCTTCAATGGCTGTGCAAAGTTGCTGGATATTGGCAGGAACTGGAACACGCCGTCGTATATGCCGATCCAGAGTATCCCAAACATGCTCAATGGGTGACATGTCCGGTGAGTATGCTGGCCATGCAAGAACTGGGATGTTTTCAGCCTCCAGGAATTGTGTACAGATCCTTGCAACATGGGGCCGTGCATTATCATGCTGCAACATGAGGTGATGGTCGTGGATGAATGGTGTAGAGGAAACTTCTGTGTAGCATGCAGTGGAGTCACCGACTCAGGAAGGAGACACGGGAAGAGTCGGAGCTTTGATGTCAAACCACTGTGATTTATTTGGAGTTGGTACCAGAGTATTCACATCACAAGTCCAAGAGTCAGAGGTTCTGACTTCACGGTAGAGTTGCCACGTCAATTCTGGAGAGCCTCTCTCTTGCCAGCCCATCTAACTGGTTTCGCAGAGAGTAAACAACATATTTGAGGAGATAGCCTAAACAGTGTGGGAACACAGAGCTACTTGCCTCGGACACTTATGACCTCGAAGATTTTACCTTGGAGTCCACAAATACAGAGAAGGAAGTGTCCCAGTGTACCCACAACACAGACCATCTGTATCCCAGTATTGACCGGTCACAGAATGGGAACAATAACATTATTGGCTAAGCCGCCTGTGTCCTTAAAGAAGGTAAACAGACATCGAGGTTTGTCCTGTATGTTACTAATTGGCGTCTTATGATAATTATTTCCACAACAAATGGCACAACAATGGGCCTCAGGATCTCGTCACGGTATCTCTGTGCATTCACAATGCCATCAATAAAATAAAATGCACCTGTGTTCGTCGTCCATAACATACGCCTGCCCATACCATAACCCCACCACCACCATGGGCCACTCGATTCACAACATTACCCTAACCCTAACCCTAACCCTACCCCTCACACCAGATACTGACTGGTTTTCGGACCCCCCCCCAGACCCCCCCCAATAAAGCAAAACTGCACGTTTCAGAGTGGCCTTTTATTGTGGCCAGCCTAAGGCACACCTGTGCATTAATCATGCTGTCTAATCAGCATCTTGATATGCCACACCTGTGAGGTGGGATGGATTATCTCGGCAAAGGAGAAGTGTTCACTATCACAGATTTTTTCAGATTTGTGAACAATATTTGAGAGAAATGGTTATTTTGTGTATATAGAAAATGTTTTAGATCTTTGAGTTCATCTCATGAAAAATGGGAGCAAAAACAAAAGTGTTGCGTTTATATTTTTGTTCAGTGTAAATTATATCGAACTTCCTTTGTTACTTTACTTTGTGTTTGTGTGCGCCCACTATGCACTGATTGACGATAAAGCTGCATGTTGTTATGTTTCCTTGACCTCCCTCCTACTCTGAAAACCATGTCTGTGTTTTGTTTAACATACTTAAACAGACTCTGGTGCATATTTTATGTGTAGGTGTTAGGGTAGTGGTCTCCCAGAGAGCTAGGAACACAGTGGTCTTTAGTATAGGATGGATTATAGAGTGCTAATGTTGCAACCACACTCCTCCAGTATTTCTGAAAATTACACTTGGACGCCCTGTAGCATAATTCTGTACTTAAAATAGCCAACCCTCTGGTTTTGTAGAATCAGCTACAGTATTTTAGAGCCGTTGACAACATGCTGTAAGTCCATCTGGCCGATGGTCTGATAATGAACTCCTGGCTCTAAGAGAGTAGAGGATAGTGTCTGATAGACTAAAAAGTTGACAGGTCAGTGGTACATTGTGACAGGAGGAGGAGAGAGGATGCCAGCCCGCTGCCAACTCTGTCCACCCCAGTTTAAGTCTCACACCAGTGCAAAACAAAAATCACGACGCTGCTCAGGTGTGGGACCATAACTGTGGGCGACTCTTATCTGCATAATCCTCTGAGATGGCAGCCTCCAGAAATCACAAAAGGTATACCGTGTATATAACAAGAATTGTGTGCTATCGACACCATTATGAAGTACCCTAGAGGGGACAGTAGGGTTTGCCATTCAAGATGGGGAGCATACAAATAGTCAACATGATATTAGTTGTCAGTTTCTCTGTGTGGGAGAGGTGTCATGACAATGCCATCAGCAGTCTGTCAGCTTAATCTTTCCCTGTTTCCCCATGCTGGTTGTAACTACATGAGGTCCTGTCGATTGTGAATAGAAAATTGAGACAGCAGCCATATTATCCTTTCATTACATCCGTGTGTTTGCATTTAATCAGAGGGTGTCATCTCAAGTCTCATAAGGTCACATTTATGATGGAGCCAAAAATGCACCTGATGAATGAATTGAAGGTTTTGGAAGTGTTATTCTGATGTAAACAGTATAATTAACACTTAAGATTAAGATGTCTTCGTGAACAGTTTTCTCAGTGAGGGGATACTTTAAACTTCTCTTGCAGCTGTCTAGATGTACAGGCCCATGTATTTAAACCTTGATGGGGCATGTAATTGGTCCAGAAATAAAAGCAGCTAGTTGCTAATTGCCTTGTTATCAGTGCCGACTTGGGCTGCTGCCCACACTATAAGACCCTTTTATACCCTTATTTTCACTTGAGCTTCTCTAGCTGACTGACAAAGTATTCATGAACTGATTCTAAATGAAAAGTTAAATATGTGACCCAAGTAAATCCTTTTTTTCACTTAGCGTTTTGCAAACCTGTCTCCTAGTGGTTTAAACTAAATGTACATTTTATTATTAGGGAGGATGGATGAATAATCAAACAGTAACCATTTTTATATTATTTTTGACAACTGAAGACACTTAACTTGTGATTTAACATTTCAAAAACAGTAACCCTTCTTGACTCATTTTAAAACGATATCATGTTTTGAACATAAAAACTGACTGTGATGTTTTGATATTTTCCCATCACAGAATACCAAACTGTAGATTCAGTCATTTTCCGTTGCAAGGTCTATTTGAAAAGAAAGAGGAAAGCATTTGTTGCACACAACGGCCATCTACTAAGACAAGGTAAGCCGGTGGTACAGTATGCAAAAGTACTGGGACCACTGTAAATTAAAAAAAGGTTTTACCCCCAACTAAAAAGTGTTGAGTTCCTAAATAAATAAACAAAAAAAAAGTTTCTTTGTTAAACATGTGTATCCCCAACTAACAAATGATAGAACTAATAGAAGTACGTTAATGTTTATAGGAGACTACATTATCTTACAGCAAGCAAGTAAAAAACAAAAACAAAATAACAACCTTCATTTGATATAAAGTAGTCTCAAACAGTTGGAATATATTACAATTAATTCCACAAATGACCCCAAAGTTGAATTTACATTTTTATAAAACCTTTCTGCTACCGTCTGAACTGAGAGCTCTCCTCTTGGCTCTTGAGGGAATTAACTCTCCTCTGTTGCCATTTATAGAAATATACTGTATTTAACAGAGCTTTCCTCCCTATGTCACTGTTTGTATGTCACTGTGGGGGCTGACTACATGCTGAAAGGGATTTTAAAGAAACATCCAAAGGTTATGTGAGTTATGTTCACGGTCCTTGCCCCTCTCCGTCAGACTGTGCAGAGTCACTGACTAACACTGAGGTAACTCACATAACGTATGAGGGCAGTACAGTGATGAATTGTTTCTTCCCTAATGCTTTGCTTAGTATTTTGTACTTTTCTATATAATTTCATACATTAACATTTAAGACTTTAATGACGGACATTAAGGCTGATACATTATATGATGCTGACATTGATCTGCTGATGAAATGCACAGAGAAGGCTGCTTGCATGAATACCTAGTAGCTATTTTTCAGCTACACTAGTCAGTATCTAAATGGCTCTGTGGTACATTCAGTACAGAATGTTCCATGTTCCTCCCCATTGGTGTTCTTTGTGCTTTTGAACCAGCATGACAGTGACTAAACTAAATAACAACTGAGCAAGCAAGGTCAAGAATGATCCCGTCATGAAATAATGTCAGCGGCTGACTAATCTCCTTGCTTTTCTCTGAGTGGTTAACAAAGAGGGTTTCAGGCTACACATCCACCTCAGTCCAAAGTACATGTGAGTACCTGTGTAGGACACATAAATATGTTCATAAAAAAATTATTAAATGTGGTTAAAGCAAGGGTCTAACACAATCAGACAAATTAATTGTGATTTATAATAGGATCATTTGAACCTGTGTACTGAATCGCACATTTTAAATAACTATTGACTTTGTGTGCCTCTAATTTAACATGTGACTGACCGATGGTTGTAGTATAATGATGAAGGCATATTGACAAGGGTTTATAAGGTACATTTTTCACGGGGAGGGAGTGGTATCTGAAAAAGAGGGAAGTCTTTTAATTAATGTTGTAAGAACATACAGAAAAGGGGTACTGCCCTGTATAAAAAGTTTGGGAGTGACTATTAAAAAAGAGGAAAGAGAGAATGAACCATATGTAGAGTTTCTGCTGTAAGATGTGGAGAAAAGTGATTGGCACTCCTGACAGACACCTATTAAGCCTTTTATCCAGAGAGCCGCCCCTTCCTGGTTGAACCTCTGCTATAGTTTCATTATGCGGCTGCGGATAATGTCAAGATTTGCATTAATGAAACGGCAGCGGGGAGTTATCTTGCGGTAGGAGACCCATAGCGCTGTCTGTAGGCCCTTATGATGTCTATTCCATTAGCCATTTTTTGATTGTCACATTTTATAGTTGATTAAATTGTCAAATAGGAACATACTGTAGGTATTTTTTTTCTTTTTTTCAATATACAGGAAACTGACACTTTCAAAATAGCGCATTTACTCACAACATATTCTGTAAAGATAAATTAAAATATGTTTATCATGGTAACACAATATATACATATATTTGATACTGCTCAACTATTCCTTACACACTTCCTTACTTGGGTTTTACAGCTGGCCGTCCTATAATTTTTGATAACACCTACTGTAGAAGCAGGAGGAAAAGTTTTATGTTTATTCAGGTAAAACTAATCTTAATTTTGGAACGGCAACATTTGAAATAATTGCATATCAATACATTTTCCCTAAATTAAACCATACATTTGTATCTTCAATAAAATACATGTCTGTAAAGTACAGTTGACTATCCATATAAATCAAATTGATTAATTATTTTGCCTATTTTGCCTCTTTGTTCTATGTTGTCTCCTAATTGGCAAAGGGAAAAGTAAGTGATTAAATGTCAACATTTTTGAAAACAAGGTCATGGTTGAAAATAACAGAAATGACTGAGTACTTGAGAGTCAAGAGGCTCTTTATATGTAGTTACAGAACTTAGAGAAATCCTTGACAGAATCCTTCATAAGTTCTTTGGATGAATAGCGGCAGCCTCAAGCCCTCTGGTAATATCAGAATGATGTTTGATGTTACTTGTTGAAGTGCAGATAAGTATGTGCTCGCGAATACTTAAAAGAAATGATTGTGCGACTCTCTCTCCCTTCCTACACCCACACATTTTACCCACAGCGTTATCCTAGCACACTGATAATATGATGTCTGCCAAATGAAAATATTAAAGCCACTGCAGTATCATTTTATATGAATGGATCTCTTTGTGTTATTGTTAAGTTGAATCTAATTAACCCAATATGCCTTAAAAATACATTTTGTCTTGGCTGTCGGCACCTTGAGAAGTTTATCTGACATGCTCCCGTTGATAACCATCAATTATTTTCTTATTTCCAAAGCTGCCTGTTATCTGAACTGGAAAAGGAAGGGTTAACTTTGAACGATCTCTCCCCTTCCTTGTTATGTTCGTCTTTGCACATAGTTTCTATTTTCTGGAAAATGTTGTTGGCAGAAAACAACTTGACTTTTTGTTCAGTCTCCATTGTTAAAGAAACCCTGGCTTGACATAATATCATGGGGTATAGCAACACAATTCCTCCTGCATTGTTGAGCGAGGCGTGCCATGGATGTACTAGGATTGGCCTGTACTGTTCTATAGCTTATTCCAAATCCACAATGTAAGATGCCAAAATCATCACAAAAAGCCTTTGTTTGAGATCTACCTTTGCAACATCAGGGTCCTGCATCATTAAAATGACTGTAATAACACCCGATAACCTCCTCAGGAACATAAAAGAACTGTTGTTATCCCCACTGATAACATAAGCGCTAAGGCTCACAGCGCTGGCACCACATAACATAATTTACTCCTACATTTTCATTCTGCTCCTGATGCTGCAGCCCCTTCATGCTTCTCAAGAATGTCTCCACCCTGTGTTTTACTGTAATTACGTTCTCCACTGGGGGAGCCCACGCTGCAGCCCACCACTCGTCTTTGGAGAAGAGAGGGAATGAGAAAGACCAGACCAGAGAGAGGAAGAATTGTGTGCGGGAAATTAAAGGGAGATGTTCTCTGAGTGGATGGTGTGGAGGGGCTGTCAGAGTGGGGGTTATATTGAAGATGATGGTATAATTACTCCCTGGGCTCTTCCGAGGAGGAGAGGATTAAGAGGAATCCCTCTGAAGGTGAAAAGGTCTTATCCTTTCTAGTGAAGACCTAAAGTTTTCCAGTGAAAGTGTTTATTTTCCTAAATAGAAGCCGGGAAGGAATGTGTTTTTAAGCCTATGTAAACCAGAATCCACTTTTGCTCCTGTCTGCCATCCACTGAACGTACAGTAAAACACTTGCTATAGTGAAGTAACTCATACAACCCCATGTAAAAATGTTGTAGCCGTGGACTTTTAAGTTCTTGTTTGCTGCTGTAGACAGATACAATATAAACCTTTAACCACATGGAAGATAAATCCTGACGGGTTTGAAACTTTTATGTTACGGGTCCAGATGTGTTATGTACGGAGCCCTGGAGGGTTCATTGAGAGAAAAATAAATAAAACGTGGCCACGTTTTACTTTCTCGTTCGCACAAGTTAATAAAGCGTGCGCACGAGTTAATAAAGCGTGGCCTCCTTTTATTTAACTTGAGGGATTCCTGTCCATGACTCACAGTATCTGCTGCCCACAGCTGTTTTATAGAAGGAAAACCTCCTTCACTTTATGAAATCTCTGCGGCACCAGTGGCCTGTACTACGAAGCAGGATTAGCTATTTACACTATTCATTCATGAAGTATGAGCCTGCGCTGTCAGCACGCGTCTCCATGTTTGTGATTGGTCAAATGTTGCTAACCCCGTCCCTTTCACGTGAACGCGCTCTCAGCCGGACAGAGAAACCCTGCTTGATTTACTGAGTTGATAACCAGCTTCGTAGGACCGCTTATCGACATCGCGTTTGTTAGGGTTAGTTAAGCCGGGTAAATCGAACATATCCAGGTCCAGGATCTGTTGAACTGGCTTCGTCGTACAGGGCACTGGAGGCAGTAACGTGTAACCCAGCAGAATCTGAGAAGAGCAGCACCAGCTGCAAAGAGCTGTGCCTTTTACTGTTTACTTCACTGCGTGTCCCTTCATTAGAACCGCTGAATAGAGATCGAGGCTGCTGCGTTTAACCACACACACCTATACACACATCGAACTACCAGAGTATTCCCCCTCGTTTTATGAAGGAGATGTCCTGTCACCGGGGCGCATGATGTGTGTGTGTGTGTGTGCGTGTGTGTGTGTGTGCTCAGCTCCGCTCTGTGTGCGTGTTCGTATGTGTCCGACACCACCGGCATTTGTTTTCAAATTACCACGAACAGTACTTTACACAAATCTGGTTCTCCATAGTTAAGTGTATTCCCAAGTGAAAGAAATTTGTTTAATCTTAATCTCGATGTGCTATAGTCCTGCCCGAGTGCGCCGGAACGAACGATACTATCATAAACAAATGCCCCCCCCCCCCCACACACACACACACACACACACACACACACACAAAACGAGGCCACGCTTTATTAACTCGTGCGCACGCTTTAGTAACTCGTGCGCACGCTTTAGTAACTCGTGCGCACGCTTTATTAATTTGTGCGCACGCTTTATTAATTTGTGCGCACGCTTTAGTAACTCGTGCGCACGCTTTAGTAACACGTTTTATTTATTTTTCTCTCTATGAACCCTCCAGGGCTCCGTAGTTATGTGCAATGTGGGATGCATTCTGTAGTTATTTGACTTTAATCCCTTGGAAATTGACCATAAAAAAAGCCTTGTGCATGTGTTTCCTCCTTTCTATCCTTTTTGTTATTCATAGCTGTGGAGATGATCAACTCTACATCCATCTGTGTGTGTGCAGCACAGGTGTGTCTCTACATAAACAGCTCTGACTTTATCAAATGAACTTCTGTTGAAGCAACAGCAGCTGCTCGGGCTGTCATAACACCCACTGCAGTCGAGTCGTCCCAATTATCTGTCACTCAGCCTACCTGCCTTCATGCCACGGGACACACACTCACTGTATAGCAGCAGATAGAATCAGGCTTGTCAAGTCTTAATACAGTCGCTACCTTCTCCCTCCGTCTGTTCCTTCTCCTCTAACTCATTTACTGTATATCCAGGGATATAGACTTTGGAAAATCGAATCTAGCTTTTCCTTCCGCTGGGTGTTTGTTGTGTTTTTTCTTTTTCAAAGTGAAGAGTGAATGTTCCTTGAGGGGCTGGGATGGTCCTCACTAAATCAATTCCCTAAATATAAAAAAAGGCAAAATAATAATAATTTTACTGTTACATTCTAAACCCTGAGGTGGCGCAACAACGTTTTATAAAAAAAAAGGCTCGTCAGGACCTTGCTACCACAGATGGAAATGTTTGGTCAATGAAAAGTAGCAGTTCACATGAAAAATAGGTGACGCATTTAAAACAAAGGCCATTTTTTTCCAATACTGGCCTGGTGCATGTGACAGATTATACCCCACTGGAATAATACAACTGTATTGCCGACAAAAATAAAGCAGCAGAAATATGTGCTGCTCGAAGTCCGTGCGTTAGCGTAGCACATAACAGCATCACTCCCGATGTGCTGTAGATTAATAACTTGTCAGCGGAAACATCCGCAGGGCTAACGCTGCTATAGAAAGATGTGTTATCACTCTTATATCCAGCACTGGGTCTTCGGGGCTGCCAAGCACATCTCCTCTCTTTATTACACTGTAGTTCAGAGGAGAGTAACCGCAGAGCTGACAGCACAGGTTCAAAATTGAGGAAAAGCAGTGAGGATGTCATAACGAATAAAATGCGGGGTTGCCGTTGCGTACTTTGAAGTTTGAAAAGCTTAATTTCACTTGATCTTTCCCTGAAGTAAATCAACTTTGAAGGAAAGCCATTAGCCAACTTCCCACGTTGCACCTGGTGGAAGCCATTAACTTTTTGTCTTCTACCATTAACACTAATGCTCAAGGTCACTGATTCAACTACATGCATCTAATGTCACAGGTGAATTTGTTGTCTACTTCATGTTATTATTCAACAGATGATTCACAATTTGTCATTTCTCTCCTTCTCTTGTGTGCCTCTCTTCCGTCCGGCTGTTATCTGCAGGTAACAGCATACTGCACTCGGCTGCGGACAGTGTGACGAGTGCCGTACAGAAGGCGAGTCAGGCTCTGAACGAGCGCGGCGAGCGATTAGGCCGGGCGGAGGAGAGGACCGCGGACATGATGAACAGTGCTGAACAGTTCTCTGTTACTGCACAGAAGGTGAGGAAATATGTTAGCAAGACGCATTACAATTCATAATCTCAGGGTAGGCTTGCTTTAATGCAGCGCATTGAAATTCTGAATTAGTTATGGAATGTTTTGGAACATCTAGTAAAAATGTTAAAGTCATTATTAATTCAGCCAAAAGAATACATATTTTACTTCAACCTGAGGATATTTGTAAGAGTCGCCTCATAGTGACTTCAGCTTTCTCTGCTCGGGAAACATAATAATCTTTTTCTTCTTCTCATTAACTCTGTTTGGTAGTGGGGGCTCCCTCATCCTCCATCCATCCCACATCTCTTGTTTGTCATGAAAACTAATTGCATGCTCTCTATAATGACGCTATTAGCATAATCTCCTTTTTCCCCTGCAAAACAAACGAAAAAATCGTTAGCTTTGTAACGAGTGCACCTGATAGCGATCATCATAACTGTCTCTGTAATAGCACGCAGTATATCACACAACCCTGGGTTTGCAGTCATGTTGTGAATGGAGTCTTCACTGAGAAATGTGCCATTTAAAGTGGAATATCAATCACTTTAGTAGAGCTATCCATTGCCTATTTTGAACACGCTGGTGGTATAATTGAAAGACATTTGCCTTACAAGGCCCTCATACTGCTCAGAGACGAGCTTTCCCGCCGTGATGAATTTCTGAAACTGTGATAAGCAAAGAAAAAGAACCCGGCTCTGGTGGTTTCTGTAGAAGATGAGTGTAGAACCCCCATGAAGAATGACTCAGTTTCTGCCATTTCTCATTTCATTTTATGCCATTAGCTTTTATATTTGTTTGCACACTATTATCAAGTCTCAGAGCTCTGCATGTCTGAAGCAAAGGCAGACAATCAACAGCTTTTTGTACGTCTTTAACATCCTACTGCATGCGTTGTAAGAATCTTGAAATGATAAGTGTCTGCAGCTTCATCTCGCCACACTGCTCAGTTTAAAAAATACCCTTCTTTTCTGCCTGCTGCTCTACTGCCCCCACTTGTTCAACTAGCACATTTCAGTTCTTCTTTTTCCATAGCAACATACCCCATACCCGTCTGTGTGTGTGTGTAATAGTGTGTGTATTCCTTCCTCACGTCAACACCCCATAGCTTTGTATTAGATTTGTTTCCTTGGTCATCTCTCTAACGAGCCTCCAGCCAAGCCATTAGATGAAGCAATGAATGCAGTTGCCTTGTCAATGCCTGAATAGAAAAACACCATAACCAGCGTCATTATAAACCCACCCTAACAGCTTGTTCTCCTTTGTGGAAGTATTCTAATTAAGTCAGATCTATACTGTACCACATTTTACTCACTGTGCTTACTTTTCCCTGCATTACATCTACACTACCTTTGCTTTCTATAGCTGGGTAGCATTTTGCTGATAGGATTATACAAATTCTCATTGTATTATCCCCCCACCCTAATTTGTTCTACAGCTTGCCATGAAGCACAAGTGTTAGACCACTGCCAAAACCAACTGGTCACCAATTGCCAGTCGCTGTACAGGAGAAGGATTCCAGATGTTATTATTGTTAATAGATTTAATATGATTACTATTTGTTAACAATGTTAACATTTTAATGTTTTGGGTTGTTGAATTCTGGTACATCATCTGACGGCGACACATCTCGCTGGGGGGAGGAACAGAGGTAACCAACGCTACTTCAGACTGTCAGCCGAATGTTTCGTGCTCCCGTTTGCCAAATGTATTCACAAGCTATGACTGTCTTAAACATAGCCAATCAGAACACTTCCCCTCTTTATATGCTCACACGCTCGTGTGAGAGTCAACATGCTGACAAGTCATTATCAGCAATCACTCAAAGACCAGGAACAGCTTGTATCGCTGGGTATTAATTGGTGAGAATTATTTATGAGCACTGCAGTGATTATGCAGCCGCTGTCATTGGTTTGTGACTGGATTGGTTGACTGTGTACACACAAAACATATATAAAAAACACATATATAGCACATACATACCTGAAGATTTTCTTATCTGATGCTTAGGTTGTAACCAGGTAAATAATTTGACGATGCATTAGGTAGGATGTGATGTCAGGTAGAAGGAATAATCAAATCTTTTATTCTCTTTCGTCGACATTCAGACATTGCAGTCTTTTGCTCTGTTTTGCTGCATCATTTCAAAAAGGGATAACACAACAGTATTAGTCAAAAATGTTTTCAATATATTATTTCATAAACTGCACATGACACGGCTTGGATGGGTTTGTGTCTATAACAATAAATGACAACAGTGAAATAGTGAAGTCCTCTGTCTACCCTTCCAAAACAACCAAAACTACATGTAATAAAGTTCCTAACATATTTGGGAGTGTACTTGACGAACTCTGTCTTGAAAAAAGCTTTTTTTAATTATAATAATTTATGTTGAATTCAGTAAACCAGCTTCTGCATTGTATAAAGCAGCATAAGGAATATCTTAGTACTATGATCTAGGTGTCTGTGGAGCTAATTTGTCCTATTCCCATGGGATCTTATAAATGACTCTTGGCTGTATTTCAACGTTAATCATTCAGTAGTCATTTCTTTATCTATTTTTTATAATTTGGGTCGGTCAATAAAAGGCTGTGTTTGCTGATAGATAACGGTCAAAATGTCTCAAATAGCAGCAGCAGTGTGTAGTAGTTTACTTGTTGTCAGTGCTCTCACGCTAACGGTAACCTTGGCTTTCTCACTTGCAAGATGCTGCCCTCACAATCGAGATGTTTTGATTTCTTTTCTGAATATTTTATTATTCACATTGTTGCCAAGCACTGACAACTTTATCTTGCGGAGCACTGGCAAGGTCATACTGAAACGTTCCAGTTGCCTCACTGTTGGTGTGCTTTTGTTCCTCTCAAACACTTTGGATGTTTATTATTTGATCAAATAAATATTTTATAATGTTGTCAGTGTCTTTTTTATAACCAGCGCTCACATTGCCATAAAATAATGGAATCAGACGCTGTACCTTTTATTTTGTTGGGTTTCTTTGTGGTTGTTGTTGCATTTTGTGTGTTTCATGCATGGTTTTTCTCTTCTCATGAACAACAAGCTGCCAAAACCTTAACGTGTCTAAAGGGTCTGATGTAGTCTCACGTCATGCTTAAACAATACTCATATCACAGTGATTAATTCTATATTATACTGTTTATTGTGTAATAAAGTCAGATGCCCAATCCAAATACAATGGTTCGTTATTAGTGCTGTTTGCTTTGAATGACTCGCCTACGTTTGTATTTCAGTGTTAATATTGTTCTTGCCTCATCTGGAAAACCAGGGTCAAACCGGTTTAAGGTTTGGTTGTCATCTCAATGAAATAATGGCTCTTGTGTTATGTCTAGAGGAGAATGATGCACAATATGTTAAAGTTGGATGGTCATGCTTGGTCAAATTCTGTGCACCTACATACTATTGTTTCACTGATGTTTTTTCTCTTAATTATGGAAATAATAATCGAAACACTGTTCTTTTCACATCTGACTCATCACTGTATTTGCACTGCAGTAATACTTTGTGAGCAGCCAGTGAGCTTGTCCTGTTTCCCCAGGAGATGGCAATGTAAAGCAGCAAGTCTTAATTGCTCACTATTGACTGTGTCCTCTGTCCAGGTTGCAGTAAATACTGTACATTAAACCAAAGCCCCACAATGACACCATACACATTATTGGAACCTGTTACTGTCCCAAATAGATTGATATGTCATTTAAAACAAGAAGTTAAGATTTTTTTACATCAGTAATGCTTGTTGGCAGGACAAAACAACCCTTTGAATAGTTTCGAAATAAACCAATGATTCTGATTTCTTCATATTAATACGTCTATAGAAGTGTTTGTGAAATTGAATCTGTGTATGACCTGAGGTTATCATATTATATAGTTGTGACCGAGTTGAGTTTGCTGCTCCTATGGTCATGTGAGCCATGAGCAATTGAGCCAAAAAACAGATGACTTAAATAACCTCCATCCTCCAAATAATTTGTTTCTAAGATTGCAAATTTATAGTGTAATACAAATCCAAGAAAACATTTTTTTTACATTTTCACACATTCCTCAACAGCTATCATCTCACTGCAATTTAAAAAAGTGTACATCCAGCACAAATGTAGTTAAGATAATGCAAACAATTACATAGCAAAGCACCCTGAGCTTTTAACCCATCCACTGTATGGAATATAGAAAGAAAGCTGAATCCTAATGAAGACATTGCAGAGTCAAGTGAGCAGAAATCAAAATATATATGTTATCTTCTCCCTGCTTGCCGCCTCTTAATAGTATTTTAATCTTCCAATTAATGATGCGGCCCGTTCTGACAAGCAGAAGGGCAGCAAGCGTGGTAGCAATGTTGAAATGCATGATGTATAGGTTATAGTGGTGCAGAGGGGAGGAAGTAAGTACCTCATAAAAGCCCCGGTGCAGGACTCTGCTACCATTACTCACTCTGTCAAATCCTGTGAATCATTCCTGGCTCTTCTAATCATTAAGCTCTCCTCTCTCTTTCCCTCCCAACTTAACACTGAGGTCCCAAAAGTGTCTTCTTTGCTCCTCAACTTCAGCACACACATCCCAGCTTATTTCTTAACACCTGGAAGTGTTTTCTGTCAGATTGTGACCTAGATCATTGGAGTACTGGAATAAAACATATTCTACCTTTAACACATGTACATACAGTTGAAGTCTCCTTATTCACCACTGGAGGGGGCACTAACCTTGTACGAAGATTCCTCTGTTTTACCTTTGTCAGCTTGTTTTATTGCCCAGTGGTTTATTGATTAGTAGAACTGATTATTAATGTTTAATTTCAGTGTCATGTACATATTGATCGCAGCTTGAGGGCAGGAATTAGGGGCTGAATGAAAGCTGTTCTGTGTCAGTAATTGCTTCAGCGACTTTCTTGACAGGGGCTTGAGTTACGGCAGCAAAGAGCAAGTGAGCCATCAAACATTTATCCAACCCAAGATTATAAGAAAGGATTATTTTTGAGATATCCTAATGATGTTCTTCTATATTAGAAATACCTGTCAGTGTTGTCTGGTCAGTTTTGTCAATGTTCAAAGACCATACAAAAGGATTGTAGGATTGAGTGGCATCTAGCGTGAGATTGCAGATTACAACCAATACTCCTCTGATCACCCTTTCTTTTTCAATAATGATTGGAAAATTAAGATGCCTTCAGTAAAAATATACAATGTCCCACTAGATTCAATGTAACATGGCGGTTCAACATGGCAGACTCTGTAGAAGAAAGCATTCCTAAAATGTGCCCAGTGTATAAAGAAGATATCTATTTTAATTGATAGTTACTATCAATATAAAAATCATATAGTTGAATTATCACAGCACTCTAGCATACATACTATTTTAAATTTATCTGGACACATTTGGCTAATTTAGTCTATTCTACTGTATTACTCTTAACAACAGTGCTTTTTTTCCAACATTCATAACAATGAATCACTAACTATTTATGTCAAATAAAGTGGGGTCTTAAGTAACAAAAGTAAAAGTATCTCACAACTCAACACTACTTTATCTAATGTACTACACTCCATATCATTTGTAATTCAAACGTATCTCAACACGTATTCTCACATGCTGATGGGACACTGTGTGGCAGGGTCTTGTTACTTGACACCTGACCAGACACGTTCTCTGCATACATCCAGAGAACGTGTCTGGTCAGGTGTCACCTTGAGATGCATTGACATTCCTGTGAGCAGGGGAGTGTGTGTCCCCCGGAGAGACTCGGTGACTTCCTGACTCCCTGACTGGCTCCGGCCCCTCAGGGCAACTCCTTTTTTAATCTGCCAACCCCCCCACAGCTCCACAGGAGTAATTAAAAGTTACACCCTGAGGTGAGAAGGCTGAATGAAATGGGAATGTACTTCTATTTCTCATTATCACATACAAATCTCTGCAATGATTCCTGAGTAGTCCTATTAGTCGGGACTGGATCTCCCCCCAAAGTCAAAGTGTAATAACTGTGGCAGGATATTGCCAGTGTCCCTGAGGCATTCTGGAAAATTGGGACCAAGAGAAATGTTGTACAACTGTGAGAAAAAAACGCTCCTAAACTTTTTACATTGGTTGGTTTTGGGTGCTATGTGCCAAATGAAATCTCTCTAACCATTGTAAAATATGAGGGTGCCCGGAGATGACCCTTGCTATTACTTTTTCAAGTTAACTTTTATATTAAAAATGAATGATGGATTTATTTTAAAAAGGAACGCATTAACGTCATTAAGGCTAAAATTGATTTGACATTTATATACCTTAGTAGAGTTAATGCCCCATAACATTAGACAGTATATTTCTTTTCATCAATGTATTCAGAAAGCTGACTTAACTTTCCAATTTAAATGTGATAAATTAGAAAATGTACATGCTACTTAATTTAATAGTATAGCCTTTCCATTAACTTTACTAAGGGAGGTGGCTTCATACTTGCCTCAACATACCGGTATTTCTGTGCACTCTTTTCCATAGAGCATATATTTAAACTGTTAAAACGCTTCCCACTCCTTTTTAGTTGCTTTGCACCTGCACTGCTAAATTGCCACCTCAGCTGTATTGCTTCAACTTGTGCCTCTACTGCAGCTCATGTTACACTTCATGTGCGTGCTCACCTGCCTACGATGCCATCATGTTTCCCCAGGTTGGCTATGTGGAAAAAATACCTGTCTATCTACCTGTCTCTATTGGTCTCCAATGTGACATTCAATCCAAAAGTAGAGGTCTTAGTGGGAATGAGTTGATGTCTGCTATTTTGGTAGCATTTTTGTGCTTGGTTTGCACTCTGAGCTAAGGTTATGAGGCTGCTGTGCTGCTGTTTTATTGCTGTCCTGCTGCTCTGCTTGTGGTCGACGTCGTGTCATTGGTCATTTCTCCTTTCATGCTGCTGCCTTTCATCGTTATACTATATTTTGAATTGTAAATGTATGTTTTCTATATTATGGGATTTGTGTTGCTGTGTGGCATTTTTCTGCTTTTTATTCATTTATTCATTTAAATGACCCCACTTCTTTGCAAATAATAATTATATTATTTTTAAACACTGCTGCAAACCCTTGCTGGTGTGATGTTGTGTGAGCTGCTATTTGCCAGTCAACACAGAATCTTAGTTTATTTTTATTTAATTGTATGTATGTATGTATGTATACATAAACATAATTCCAGTACTCAACTATACCTATATATATATATATAACTAAAGAAGTATTTCCAGAAATAAACAAATAGTGTAAACTATGTTAACAGCTATATCAAGTAATGGAACATTTTAGAGGCATTTTCCATAATTAATCTGAATATTCAAACAACAATCCATTTAACAGCAATGAAAATTAAGAATGTGTTTGTTGAAACTCCAACAGTTGATTCTGTAGTGGGGTTTGTAAAATAATACAACAAACTGAAGCTATGTCTTACACATACAAAAGGTTAGACAACAAAATGGTGAAGACTGCCTCATCTAATGCAAATTGAGCATTAATATGCAGAGTAATGACGCACTTTGTATCTTGGCTGAGCTATTGATAGTCACATGGCCCCAACAAGAGCTACATCTCACAGACAGGCACAGAGTCAGCACATGAGATGCTGAGTTAATAAAGTGTACCTTCCCTCAATCACACAGCGGTCCAGTCTGACGTCACTTACCAGAGGTAATTAGAGTTTTATGTAAGGAGGAAGCAGGGAGTGACCGTGGAGCTCGGGAAGTCACCTCAGCGCCCCGCCCACAGTGACTTGGCAGATGTGTAGCGAGCCGAAATGCACAACAGCTGCTTGCTCTAAATCAGGCCTCCAGTCCGCCCCTCTGCCTTTGAGCTCCTGTGGAGTGCAATGTCAGCCATGCTGGAATCATCATTCATTATCCTCATATGAATCTACTTTTCCTCTCTCACACGCTTTATTTATTAGTATCGGTCCTCTTCGTGGAAGTGGGTCAGAAATTGACTCACTTTCCCTTTGTACGCTAAGTTGTTTTATGTTCTCTTTGTATTCTGCATTGGGTAAGACAAAACACCTACTTTTGTTTGTTGTGTTTATTAATAAACCAAAAGGGATATTTTTGAGCTGAAGGGAAAATCTTCTCTGAGTATAAATACCACCTTAAGCTCCTGCTGGAACCGAAACCAGTTACAGGAGACAAACGGGGGTGTAGGCAAAAGATCTGCACTG